TCCACTGAAATAGGCTTCGCATTAATGCAAATCCTACATAAATGGATGTGTTCATACCGTAGCTCCGTTGCTATCGCTCGTTCATTTACGACTTCAAGATGAACCACACTTCTGTGACCTTGTATGGTCATTCAAGCTCCTCTGGATGGTTTCTATTTCCTTCTGTTTGACAATAATCAAGTTTACTGAGTCAAATTAGATTAAATTACCTTGGCACGTAAGAATCGCTTTTGAAATTGACTCCCATGTGATCTGCTTTGAATTCGCCAGGCCAGTTCAGGAAACTTTTGGATAATCGTTATGCTCATCTCGTAAATAATGTTGTCGATAACATATTACTTATTTGCGTTGTAAGAACTAATGTAACTGTAAGTATACCAACTGCTGTATTGCAGGTGCAATTACGGCGCAGTAGTGATGCGTACTTAATAAAGCCGAACACAATTTGACAATTTGTGAGTGCATCGATGCTATTGCTTAATATAAAACTGTTCTTTCCTGGAATTAATCTTGATTGGTTCTACGTGCGAAGACAACAGTAACCGGAGGCCAATCAAAATAACTCACGAACTATGTATCCTCAAATGCATTGCTTATATAGCCTAATTATGAGTCAAAAGATTTGTTGTGGGCCCCACCATGTGGTCTTGAACCACGTCGGCGCCACGGAATCAACCCTGGCCAGATTACGCTTACCTAATACCCACGATGAAGAAAACGATCGGAGAGGACGTGGGCACGACCGCTTAATTCAGAGCTCAAACACGTTAGTGTCGTTGTGTCGTGTGTGGGGTTTGTGCGTGTTTATTTATACCTCGGATGTGTGAGTCATACATGCGCTAACATCGAGACCTAGGTGTGAGGGATAGTCCAAGAGACATATTCCTGCTAATGAAGGGGGAGTTGAGGATCCGCCTGGCTGGCGACATGCTGCGAAAAGGGGAACCCTGTGTAGGAGGTGGAGCGACCGGATTAATGGATTGAATAAACACGATTCACAAGTGATACGTGGGTTGCGACATTACGCATCTTGTAGATAAGTGCGCCTATGAACATACACAACGTTGGATAAGAATTTGAGAGGGACTAATACACCCGCTCTACAAAGAATCAGCTCTCACATGGAGATCACTCAAATATTGGATGGAAGTGATCCTTATATATTTAAAAAAGGCAAGGCGATGTAATACAAGGTAATTATTAAGACGTTTAAGTACAAATGCAAATAATGAAATCAATTCACTGAAAACTTGACTATCATTTATCAATGTATTTTGAATGCAAATCTACTTGATTCTGGTTTCCCGTTGGCGACTCCTAAAGTGAAGACAGGAAATTTGTGATCTGATTGGTTATATGGGCTTTAGCGCTTTTTTCAAGCTCCGCGCCGCGCTAAGTACGTGGGGCTAACTCCGTGATCTGATTGCATGCTTGATGCGCGCAACTAGCCAATGGCTGAGCGCCTTGACTGGCTGGTTTAATATGCTGGCATGTTGACGCCTTACTATAACACGCACCAATATTCGTGGCGTTTTTGGATTGCTTAGGCATGGTGAGTCTGGAAAACCCTATTCTCTATTTGTGTAACGAAACCCACGTTTAAATTTACGATTTATGCTATGTGGTAGGAATCAGGAGAGGAACAGCACATTCTGGATCTTCCAGCTGAGATTATCCTGCGAATTTGCAGTTTTCTCAACTGTTTAGACATAGTCCATTGTTGTACAGTTTTCCCAACGTGGTGTCAGGCGCTTTGTTCCCCGGTAGGCATTTCGATTTTTCGCAAGGAATTCGCTTCCTGGACATGGCTGGATCAGCGTCTGTCTCGTCTGGTTTTGTCTTCTTGTACATCACTTTCTGCATTCACTGACATGCTTGGCGCACTTAGCTATCGCGATGAACAAAATATGATCTTTCACAGAAGCTGGGCCTCTTTCACGTTACCCGATGGCACTGAAAACATCGAATGCCTCCTCCTTGGTCCAGCTGTTGATGCTAACGGTCTTTTCCCTGGTTTCTTTTCTGTTCTGCTCACTTCAATGGACACACGTGCATCTGTAGACCAAATTAGACTCCCGAAGCGCCGAGGTCTGTCCAACTTGGGCTGGACAGGTCACGGAATTCCAATTCGCATTCCAATGTCGGGGAAAAACAATACTTCGGGTCAGATGCACATCAACATCACAACGCTGCATGCCAGAGACAAGGCGTCAAGAGAACTGCAGTCGAGTCGAACTGACGGCAGTTTCATCATCAAAAACAGCCAGTTAACTTCCAAAGCTAGAACGATGATCAACGCGGCCGACTTCGTGCTCTACGCTGTGGACTGTCGACGTGGTCGATCGGATTGGGACGATATTCGACGCGAACTCACAGAACTCGCCCTCGCTCTGACTCCCTGTCAAACGCTGGTCGTGTTGGGCCTTTGTGGAGTGTTCGATAATAACAGAAATGAACTTGTGTCGGCCGTTGAAATCGTTCAAAACCTCGGTGGTGTTGACGACGGACCTCTGGCTGTTGCCAAGACAAATTGGAGAGTCTGGTGTGTCATGTCAGATGGCCAGCAGTACACCAACTTAAATGAGATCTTCCAGTGGGCATACATTGACTTTGTTTCCAAGCCCGCCAACTGTAACCATGACAACCAAAGGAGTAGTGGTGGGCTCTCGAGGGTATGGAATTTACTCTCAAAGTGGTTTTAACTTATTGGTCATTTAGCTAGCATTTTGCTTATCTTCATCTTGTTCCTTTATCAGTTCAATTCCCCTATTTTTTTACCGTGAGTTGTAATACTGTGTAAACATGCTAAATATATGATCCAGTTTTGGTTGATTATGAAAGTAAATTGCGTTCAAGTGAGTGTCTGCTTGATTTTAGGCTATGTAGAATTCGGAGCATCAGTTTTCACGGTGGTTTAATAAAGAAAATCGGTTTGGCCATAATCTTTTATAATTGTCGTTAATTCTAAAGGTTACTCTCTATTTCCATGTTTCGCTATAAGCAGCAGTAAAAACATCGAGACTAAATGTAGGAAGAAGTGTTCCATAAACGCAGGATCCAATGACGTTTTCCGTAGGTGGGAAATCAGGGAGGTTGTTGGAGTGATGTTCGTGACATTTGCGTCACTTGAAATCGGACTGTTTTCTCCTTGGCTGATTGGTCAACGCGGGCCAATCACGAGGTAGCTCTTCAAAATCTACTGCAGAGGCGCTGTTTCCGGGGTAGTATTCGTCATGCGCGCAAGTGATCTCTTAATTGGGCCCACAATTTCCCCATTCGCCTGAGTTCATGTTGGCTGTCTTGCTAGCACATTTTTGTCGCTTACGTATCAAATCTGAGTCGCTAATTGTTACTTTCTTCTTCTAAATGCCGTCACAAAGCTCAATTATCCTGCAGAAAATCTTTACATAAGCCCACTAAGGATTGTGTCTGGGGTATAGTGCTTATCGATTTATTCCTACGATAATATAAAAGTAAAATTCTAATTTAGGATGTTTTGGGCCTTTACGATGAAACAGCTTTTAGCGTATGGTCGAGCGGTGTTATTTCACACAGATAGAAAACTGCATTGAGAACGAGAAATCGAATTCCAACGTGGAACCTGACACGTGTTTGTTTGTGTGTTTTGTTAACGCGCACACACACACACACTTGTGCACAGAAGGGCATCATGTAGGACTGCACAGCTGAGTCTGAAGTGTGTTTGCGGCTAGGTCACAGTTCATCTCACTTTTACTTTTGTCGCTGTGTTTATCGCGGCAGCGATTATCACTTGTGGGGAGGTCATGCTGTAAAGCACCTCAAGCTGATTGGATAGCAGTGTTTCCAAATGAAATATCAGTACAAATGGTCGATAATCAGAGCTGCTTCGTACGTAGGGTCTTCCATTACAACAGCAGGTAATTTACAAGAGTTTTGCAAGTGATTTTTAAGCAAATGTCGTGGAAATGGTGTTTTATGAGGCCTGGGTGAAACACTTAGTGATCACTGAGTGAATGAGAAAATGTAAGCCAATGAAAAAACGCGAATCGCTACCATACCGCTCAGCCTAACTCCGCAGTCACCTACAAGGTTGCCTGTACACAATGGGACAGTGTCTGCGATTGGTAGCAATAAATTGACGTCTATTAATTAGGCAGTGAATTGCATAGGGTCTTTGACCTATATAAATAAATAAGCACAACTTGGAGCTCTGTAACCTCAGTATTCTGGAATTTTCTGAGCTTAGACTTATATCCAGACCCACGTTTACTTCCAAAGGTGTTGCAGCTATAAAAGTACAAATTAGATAACAAAAATCAGGAGTTTCAGTCTCTAAATGTAAAATCCTAAAGGCGTCATTTATGACGAATGCTGGTAACTTTTCCAAGACAGTTTTAGTCACAGCGTTAGCTACTGACTGGTGTATGAAATAACGAGGAACAGCAATAAAAATTTTGTACATTTATGCCTTTATTAATCCAATTTTGTGAAAATTTTGCGCTCTCTAACATTTTACAGAGCCGCACGTTAAGTTATTTTGGCAAGCTTGACTTGCAGCACGTCCTATTTCAACAGTTTCAGGGGTTAGCAAAGGCAGTATGTCTAAACAAGGCAGGCAATTTCGGAATACTTAATTTTTTGTCAATTTCTAGCTGTTTTGTTTTGAAAATTTGACAATCGCCTGAATTTCGTCCTCCAAAATACATCAAACTGCTGATTATTGAACTATTACGCGAGTGCCAATGAAAAGATAAAAAAAATCAGGTGAACTACACTTTGTGAAAACCGATTAATTTTTCATGACCGCTAATGCGCCTTTCTTCGTATTGAAAACACAAGGATATAGTCAAAGGTGGCCTCCTTATATTGGCCATTAGAAACCCTGGTGACACCACCTATCACAAAGTGCCTTTTCACCCAATCACGTCGCAGTGGTGCGCTGATTGGTTAGCTTCACATGCTCAACAGACGCTAGGCGTCCAACAGGTAACCGTGTGGATATTTACGCTGCTGATACGATGGAGGAGTCTTTTCTGGCCTTCTGCGACTTCGTCAAGAAGGGTTCCACTACATGCACAGACAAGACACTGAAAAAGATCTGTACGGACTGTGGAATCTACTGCAAGGGCATGGACGCCAATCGAGTCGATATTCAATTCCGCAAACACCTCGGCAACGCCAGGCGCGACGTCGACTATGCCGGGTTCTGTGCTTTCCTCCAGGGTGAACTTGCCGACGCCTACGTCGAGGCCAAGCACCTCGATCGGGAGGCGGCGATACAGGAGCTGGAGGACAAGGTGGCCAGCGGGAAGCCCGGAGGTCATGGCACGACCTCGATCAGCAAGAACAGCGTCACCGCTCGCCTCACCGACCACCGCGGCTACACCGGCTCGCACAAGGAGCGCTTCGACGCGGAAACTGGCAAGGGAAAGGGCAAGGAGGGCCGAGAAAATCTCGTCGACAAGAAGGCACAACAAGGTTACGTTGGCAACTACAAAAACATGGACACCTATGACAAAATGCACAAAAAGTAAGCATGGCACTAACCATTAAGACACTCTTGCTTTTTCTGCCGTTCTCATTAACATCACTACTATTTAAGACATGAAAACATGCACACACCCGCAGACGCACCTTGATCATGTGTCGTTTTGCACGAAATAAATAATAGCCCGTGTTGTGTCATCATATATACCAATTATTTGATCCCAAAGCGGCATGTTTACTATGATAGCACTACCGTTTGTGTAAACACGACAAATTTGTCTTCGGTTCAATCGTACCGATCATTATTGAGCAAAATCAATACGTTTGGCCAATCACACGGGGATCAGGCTGTTTTTTTGATGTTGCATCAAAGACAAACCAGTTCCTCATTATAGCACCTTTCAGTTAAAAGGTCTGCTAAATAAACCAACACATTAACTACCACTTGCTTGGGAATGCAGCGCGACACTTGGTGCATTCAATTGCCAAGAGCTGAATCTCGTACGAGTAGAGAACAAGAGATTTTCTGTCAAATGAAGGGAAGGCACGAAGTTGCGTGAAACAAAACCACACTGCTTGCAGAAATGCCTCAAAGCACATACCTCGAACACCTTACTTTCGCAGGGGTTCCACCACTTTTCAACATGGTCGCAGTCGACGCCCGACACTCTTAGTCCTTCGACAGCCATTCCACGCGATCGCAACACGTCCACTGCACACATCAGGCTTCCAATTCCTTTCGACAGTCAAAGCTGCTTGAAAGGCAACAGGAAACTGCGGGTATCGCGTGTGCACACGAACCGAAAGCGAGTTTTTTTAGGTCTGTCGCCAAGCACGCCTTCCCAGTCTCGCGGGCTATCACAGGCTCTCTCTCCCACCTTGGACGCCCACACTATTTCATAATTTAAACAACCAGACGTCTAAATACTGCTCTAGATAAAACACGAGTTACTCTGAGATTAAATTGTGGTCTCACCAAGAAATTGACCTGACTCAGATTGCAGGGCTTGACATATTCGAAATGGATAAATGAAAAAAATCGACTGGAACGAGTTTTTGTGGATTATTTCTAGAAGAAGCAACGAATATGATGAGCAATGGGAATGACTTTCACAATCAATTGATACACTCTGAGCTGTGTTGATCAGTAACCGTGCCCGTGTAATCTCGTTGATCGAGATCGCCCCGTGTGGTCAGCCATCTGGGCTGTTACCAAAGTACAAAATCCACGATGTTTAAGTGTTTTACATGTTTGATAATTAAAACATCTAAATTAAGAGCTTTTGATCACTTCTGCATCGACATACAGTTTCATTTTATTTCCACGTGATTACCAGTGGAAATGCAGATGACTATGCAATGAAGAGACAATATTGTTTAAATTTAACCTCAAACTTCCTGTTTCTCCCTGCCGTTGTCATTGATAATATCGATTTCCGGTGTAATGGCGTTTGTTTAAGCCGTTGTTAGGTCCCTGATGTAACAATAGCGTTGGATATTAGCACGCGAAGATTGCATGCTTGCCTGCCTGCAGTTACCCCAGCAACAAACCCAAGCATTGTTTGAATTAAACTTAAGAAACACACAGTTATTTTTAGTAACTACAAAGTTAACCAACCATTTTCTGGGCTATAATAAAGTCAAAACACTTTAACTGGCTGTGACTGCACGGCTAAAGAGAATTGGCATTTTTGTAAGTAATGAGCAAAAGAGTAGTTTGTGCAATAAAAATACCTGACTTAACAATATCACCAGGCTAATTTTACACCTACTCCGTGAACCATTGGCTAGTGGTGGATCCAGGTTTGCGGCTGAGTTGTGATTGGTGCATTTTGGTCCAATGAATGGCGTGTGATTGCGAAAACAAGTACAACTTTGACAACATAGAAGATGGATTTAATTGCAAGACAAGAGAGGTTTCCGTTACACAAGAAACTCTGAGCTTTTGCTGGGCTGTCATCGTGGGTTCGTCGAATCCCACCTCAATCCACAACACCCACGAGTGCGGGGCTCGAATATTGGAAATCGCTTGCAAGATTCCGTCATCAATTGACTAGGAGTGTTTAGATGCGACAAACACAGTTGCTGGGTTAGATGAATTGATGCAAGCGAAGGTAACAAGATAGGATTCCATCCAATGAAAACACCTGAGAGTTCATGTTTTGGCAATTTAATTTTTGTCTGATAATACTTTACTGATTACAATTCAGTAGACGTTTGTGTAAAAGTTAGCCAATATTTAATCAAGTCAGGTGTTTTAGAAACCACAGAATTCATTGCTGTCAAACTACTATGCTTTTTAACGAATATCTGGGCACATCGGTGACAGACTACCCCAACTTACCAGAAAAATTGTAACTAGTTTCGGAATTTATACTTCGGCCGTATCAGTTGAGGCGTTTATTGTGTGAAAATGCTTTCAAGGCCATGCAAATGTCAAATTTTTTGCAAAAAAATAAAAATTTGCGGGTTTTTGGCCCCACTCGGGTAGATGAGTGGCCTTAACTAAACACGAAGTCCACTGTACTGTTCATTTCGGCTTGAATTTAACAGCAATTTTGTCGGATAAGTGATGTTTTACCACAAGCAATTAGACCGACAGTAGATGACAGAATTGACAAGCACCAGATTCCACACACAGCTCTGTAATTCTCGTATAATTTGCAGGATGATAGCGAAATGCGTGGGACCAATCATCAATCGGTTTCTGACAAATCAGGTAATTTAATTAGTCGACTTGAGCTGCTCTCTGAGTCATGAAAATGCGAGTGAAATGCCGCCCACCACTCCAGAAGTGGTAAAATTAGACACGATGTAATGCCAGGTAACTCCATTCTGTGCACAAAATGTGCTTCTCGAGCGGTATAATTTTGGTATCGCAATACAAGATGAGTGTTTTCGTAGTCATTAAAATATCAAAGTAACTTTCACCTTTACTTCTGCCGATAGCCTGCGAAATAAATTTAAACAAATTTATCACATCGAATGAACGCCGCACAGATAACATACTTATTATCGTTCCAGCCGGCTCCAGGGCTGGCCACTTTCTTTACTTCGGAAATAAATAAAACACGGGACGTGGAAATTACTTGTGAGTTGTCGCCGGAGCAGCCAATTAAATCTCGGAGATACTGTTTCCCCAGAATTTTGATTGGTGGAACAGATCTAAGACACCGACGATTCTGATTGGCTGAACATTGGTAGATAACCGGCTTCGTTAAAAATGGGGTTACCAGTCTCCATTCCCCCACAACATACAACTAACCGTGATGCACTTATTTAGTTAACGACTTTAACGATCATGCGTAAGCACGGCTATTAAGGGTAACATGCACTTAAACATACAGAGGGGATTAGTGGTGTTACGGAAAGGTTGTCGTTAAAAATTTAAACCATAAAACCAGTTATCGCGGGCTGTGATTGCGTGGAGATTCCAATTGGATTGAATTACGGGAGTAAAAATGGACGAATTGGGATAAGAATTAGGGGAATCGCCTGACGTCCGTTTGAATCTGTGCGTCGTCGCGCTGTTATGGCTCAAGTGATTGTTAGAAGCGACATTTACTGACAAGCCTTTTTTGAAACTGGATTCGCGCGTGTAGGCAAAACTAACTTCCTACGTTCATTCGATCTCTGTGCAAATTACGTGCGTAAGTGCATGACTGGACCACAAACCTGCTGCGGGAATTGCCAGATCACATTTCGTACTGAAATTTTGTCATAACAACCAGCTTAAAGTTCTCGTTGTTGGAAGTTAGTAAGGCTTGAGTCTAGCTTGCAAATCGAGAGTTTCCCTTGACCTGATTGGAGGGGGATTTCTCCCAAATCCTGATTGGTTGGCCGGCGACTAAGTGAAACTGTCGACAGCATGTGAGCCTGGAGCCAGATTTTTGCAAAGCTTAATTTGAAAATAAGACTCCCAGCCAACCTGCTACCTTCTCAGAACATGACTACGTACTATTCGCTAAAGAACGTTCCAAATGCAGAACCACCGCTTGCGAAACACGGGTTAACCTGTAGTCGGATCCGGAAATAAAAATCTGATATACATTCGCCTGAAAAACTCGACGGTGTGCATGGCGGGATAGTGTAGGAATTCGCCGGTGATAGTGCAGTCAACGAAGACCTTCATAGATTCCAACAGGGTCGAATACTGCTGCACAAAGTGGGGAAATGCTCTCATTGGTGCCTGAGGACAAACCAATTATACTTCGAGGCGATGTAAACACGGGGAAACACCAGCCCACACGTCAGAACAAGACAATTGAAAAGACAAATTCAAATAGGGCTTTAATTCAACTCTGGTGGGAGGACACTAGCTGCCTGCCAGAACAAAATGAATTGACTTCCATAAAGAGATATGTAAAGCGCGGTCCAGGTGTGTTGTTCAAATGAATATTAATACGTCTGCATGTGTGTGTGTGTGTGTGTGTTGGGGGAGGGGTGGGGTGGGGCGGGGCGGAGGAATATTAAAAAAAGCAACATAAAATCTGCGCGACGAGAAGGCGTCTGGACACGCCCATTGGAATGAAATCATCTTCTCACCAGGTGGGAGCAGAGTTGCGTTGCTGAAAGACATCGTGGATCAGGTTGTCGGGGTGTGTGTGCATGTAGGTTACCAAGGGAGCAGGCGGGGCATCACAAGATAGCGGCACGAGGGAGGGGCACAGGGCTATGCGCCTGTCAGTGTCACAGCGACAGGTCGAAGGTACTTCAGGTTGAGCCACATGAGGCTCTGGATGAGAGTTTTGATGTCGTTGCTCGAGCACTTCTGCAGTCTCCAGGGATTCGGCAGTTCGAAGAGCTTCAACACCGAGATGACCAGCAGGACGGAGTCGTGCCAGGCAGCCGTGTACTCCGCGCCGCTGTAACTATCACGATTCACCAGCTCGGGTTTGACAACAAGCTTCTGCTTCCTCTCGAACTTGATGTCCTCTTTGGGCATGATGTAAAGCACAACAATGGGAATCCGACGGGCAGTTCGCTCAGGGAAGGCGCGCAGCACAGCCCTCAATTCGTGGTACAGAAGCACCAACTGGTCGGCCGATTCTCGGGCGTCAATGGCGTAGATGATGCCGTCCAGCTTGCGGCACAACTCCCGCATCTCATTGGTGACCACCAATTGCGACAGGAAGTCATCCAACTCGCTGGAGTGGTCACGTTGGACGGAAACGGCGTCAGCCCCTGCTTCGTCCTCGTTGTGAAAAAACAGTCTGCTAACACGGAGACGCGTGTACTGGTCGTTGAAGACGTGTTTTAGGTGCGGTGGCAGGGAGTAGAGGTAGGAAAGATCGAAGGTGAAGTCCTCATGTTGGTGGCACTGACATGGGTACTCGGTGGAGTGCTGGACTACCGGAACAGGGGAGCGCGACGGAGGGGTGGAGGGCGCGGAGAGGCACGACGCGAATCGACTGGTAGAGGTCTTCGCCGACGCAGCCGCGGAATCACACGAAACCTTTCTTGAGGCAGAACACCGAGTGGAACCATCCATGACGGCTCTCTGCGCCTGCGCAAACAGACGCAGCGTAATACCCGACTCGAAGCCCATGTGACCCGTGAAAACGTTGATGGGTTCGAAGGACCGCGTACGCGTGTCGACCATCTTCCAGAAGAGACGACTGGTGTACCGGTGATCCAGTCCCGGGCCGAAAAGCGCGAACCTCGGTCGGTTTGCGGAGGCGCCGGTGGCCGAGGAGCCAGAGGGGTTTGAATGACGCGAAGAAAGGAGCTCCCGGACGTGGTAGATGATGGCATTCACAATGTTGGAGAGCTGGTTGGTGTGGGTGCGCGGAGAAGGCGGATCGAGCGGTTCGGCGTCGGGTGATGTTGAAGGGTCTGTCCCCTCTGTTCCCGCGCCTCCGTCGCATTTGGGGATGTACTGACTCAAGAAGCGGTAGACCGCCCGCGGGTGGATGGAAGAGGGATCGCGCAGGGGGTTTTTGGGTAGGGGGATGGGCATATCCCGAGGAGGGGGCTCCGGACAAACAATGGTGCACCACTGGGTCTCAAAGAGCTTGGCCTCCCAGAGGTGCCAATCCGAGGAGAGGTGGTGCCACCGCCGACACACCTGGCCACACGCAATCAGCTGATCGGGGTCGAGGTAGGAGAATATGCGGAGAATCACCTCGTTGGGAAGGAGACAAAAGTGGTCAGAGGACTTGTCGGGTGCCGACTGGAGGGTCATGTAAGGCACCAGCAGCGGGGGGGTTGCCGATCTCAGGGGCATAGTTTTGCCGATATCTGTGGGGGAAAAACAAACGGGTTTTTTGTGAGAATAGTTAGTAAATGGCGATATTCCTCTACCACCTTGACCACCATTTCTGAAACTCACTCAAATACATAAGAACATCTACATCATGAAGCTATGTTCACCAGAGGTGCTATATGTAGAGGAAGGGTTGGCTCAGTAACCGCATGTATGACAAAGGGTTTCAGACACATCCTATTTGCGGTGAAAAATCGATAAATGGAAACTTGGTGTCAGATCTTTTAAGTAGTGGTAACGAGATCGCTTTTTTATAAGTAAAGATCAACGCACCCTCGTGACTTGTTGACCGACAACTTGCCAACATCCCACTGCAAATTTTTTTTAATGTCAAAATCGAAATTCAAATCAACCAATCACTTTATACAATTTTACAAAATTGGAAATGTTACTGAAACCTATTTTTGAGTGGAGATTGCGATATCTTAGGTGAAGTGAGGCAAACGCGATGGAATCAGTGTCTTACAAGGAAAAATATATCGACCAAAGAATCAACAATAGAAAACATTTTCCGACAACGAAGGCATACACTTGATGCCACGTTTGGTAACAGTCTTCCCGTTAGGTCATCTCAAAAGTCAGTTGCATGGAAACTCGTGCATAGATTAGTCCCATTACTGAATGCAATGCCTGCTTCCCCTGGCAGCACCTGACAACTAAACCTCGCACGATTGGCTCAATTGGATCATCTCAAAGTCAGATTGGCTTGAGAAAAGGTTCCATTTTAGTCGAAACGCCGGACGCCAATTTACACACAATCGGGTGGCAGTGAAAGATCGCCCCTGGGAATCGTGAGATCGACTTAAACCAACATTATTAAAAACCTGCAGCAAGTCGTATTGATTTTAACAACCATCAAGCCAATCGTCGCGTACTCCAACTCACCCCTACACGACCACCGCCCTTTCGCTAATCGGCATTCAACCGTTTGTACAAGTCCATTCGGACTGTGTTGATTAACAAACACGTGAGCCATGCACCACCTATGAACACACAACTTAGTTGGGATGTCTAGCAAACGGTCGTATCTGCGCCGTCCCCGGTCTTCTTCATCTTGTCGGGTAATAGTGGAGAGTGATGGGGCCGAATCCAACGCAGCAGCCTCGGTGTGGTTTGAGGCGGCTTGAACGCGGAAGGAAACAGCTGTGCGCGAATATCTGCGCTGTCTCCTACCCAGAATTAACCCAGACCATTTGCAGCGCCTAGTGACCGTGCCGGTCTGACTACAAGGCTCTTAATTGCCCACTGGCATTTCTCCCTGTGTAAGCTAATAAACAACGGTGCAGTCTGTAGCTGCATTCTTTGGTATGAATTACGTCCGATGGGGCTTCAACAGCCTTCCTCAGCTAGAATTCACACACGTGGAAAACCTGTCTTGCTCTTAGCACTGACTTGAGAGCAACTTGAAGAACCTTCGACAAGTACCAAATACTTGCCATAGCCCACATTTCGAAAGGCTGATGTCTAAATGTCTTCCCAAGAATTCCACCTCTTTGAGGCACAAGAATGTCAACGAATTCCCTAGCTGCTTTGAAGGCGAGCGTGTTTTGATGCACTTACGTCCGCGAGATGGCTGTTGAATCGTAAAAAAAAAGACAGCAGGAATTGCCGAATCCCAAAAGAATGGACGTTTTGCGTAAGGCGAGTAAAATGTCAAATTCCGGGGTAAACGTGAATTGCACATTCCGTCGATTGCACACGCCATCAGTAAGAGCTGAGGGAAGCCGCCTCAAGCGCATTTAAAATTAAACCGAAAACCACGACGAGCCAATGAGGAGACGATTAGCTTTTCTTCTCAACAACGATACAACCGAACAGCACGTCAGGAAAAAGAAACAAATGCAGACAGCTTAGGTGGAGGGCAATGACACGATGAAAAGCTTCCTCCAGATGCCGATGTTAATTCAATCTTTGAGGTGAATTAATACTAGTGGTGAAGCAGCAGGCGTGAGAGATTACATGTAATTCACACATACACACAGTGAAGGCACTCAACACGCGTGCTATGCTCATTTTCACGAAGCAAAACACCAACCTGTCATTCAATACGGATCACTTTACACCAAACCGGAAAAAAATAACAGAGGAGAGGGTGAGAGTGATCCCACTTCAAAACCGCTACCCTACACACAGAGATGAGTTTTTAAGGGCTGGAATTCATCAAATGTCAGCAAACTTACACCGATAACGCTGACAGACACAAAATACGTGATTCATTCGCGGTAATCAGTAAAATATCGACACAAACACAGAGGCTGACTAATTTCAGGAAGACGCTGGGGAATAATAGCAACAGGGAAGCAGGTAACCACAAAACGGCATACACCAACGCCTACAACCAGGCCACATTACTTGCTCTTTAAACACTTTCATTGGTCACATGTAAACTACTAGAAAAGCCTAAATTGTCTGCAAATACGCGAAATGGGATTGAAGTCAACGCGGATCGCTGCCAATCAATCCCGTGTTTATTTTTACGAACAAACTAAAAGAATAATTACAGGTTACAGTGACAATTTGATTCCGTCGTGACATTAGGGCTAAGACTCAGATGATAACTCGGAGATAAGGCAACAAGAGAAGCGATAAGTGTTGAGCATACTTAGCCCAGTCTGCATAAAAACACAGTTTGAAGGCAGAGGAGATGAGGTCACCTCATAAATTTTCCCGCCTAGATACCCACGCAGAGATGTTCGTCAAATGCAACAGCACACATATCAAACGAGGTTCTGGCAAAGTACACTTTAATGTTTCCACTTGCCTTAAATCTAAACCAATGATGGTAAACGTCCGATGTAACCCCAAAAAAAACAAAATTAGCAAATTTTAAAAGAATACCACAAATGATTGTCAAAAATAGTTGATTTCATTAAGATGCTCCCAGTCTTTGATGTAAATGCCTCCAAGAATTGACAACAACAAGCAAGGTCGAGAAGTGCGATTACATTTTTGGATTACTTCTCAATCAAAGCATGGAAGAAGTTGACCATATTTCATCTGTCACAGGAAACGGGTAATGTCTGAGATAGCAACTGGCTGAACAAAACACCGCTTCCCTTCAGAAAGTGGGACTTTATAAAAGGAGACGCAGATATGACGAAATGTATACTAGGCCGATTCTCAGGGCGCCAGAGTGGGCCCTGGCGTAGGAACAAAGTCATGGGAAACGCCCACTCTGCAATCCAAGAGGCGACGGGGTGGGTCAAGGGATGTGTAATTTTCAATGCGAAATTAATGTAAACGTACATACACACACCCCACTGCCACCACCAAAAATAAACGCAACGCATAACCCAATCACTGCAAGCAAAACTGAACTTAGTTTTATGGTTGCGTGTGATATACTTAATGGTTGGGTTAGCCGGTACGTGCATATCACATAGGCCGTGGCGCATGAAAGACAAAATCCAAACTTATCAAATGAACTTCAATCCAAAGTCAACAACAATTAGATTAGTTACCACATTCAATTTGCAGACACCCTGCATTCATTACTTCCGATTTTTCACGAGTGTCTACCCAGACTATAAGGCCAAATGAAAGTATTATTCGCTGTTTATTTAATTCAATTGAATTAAATAATTGAATCAAGTTTCATTAGCCTGAAATAACCTAATACCTACACACTTTTTACTAAATTTTCATGGTCTATTCATGACAGGTGAGGTCATTGAATTCACAAATGCTCCTTTTAGAATTGCATGAGATTTAAAACAATGGGTGCGCGACAACCAAATTACATTGCATTTAAGAACATCTGAACCTTAAAAAAACAACAAGTTATGACACATTTGCTAACACAAAAAATTGAGGAGATTTCAAGATTCCCGGGTACAAGGTCTTTAAGACAGTTATAAAGGTCTGCAGCCAGGTTTGTTTAAATCGAAAAAAAATTGGCTTTCATAATTTTGAGAAGTAAATTATTTAAAACTTTATCAGTCAAACACAAAACTTATATGAGGAGACGCAACATTTGTCAGAAAATGAAGTATTCATCAAAAATAACCATAATTCAATTAGATGATGCGAATCAAACGTCAAAATAAAAGCTGTATTAAGAGTTAAATGCAAAGGCCTTTTTGATACCAAATTACGCTACACTAATTTTAAAATGCTACACGCGTTGAGGCTGACTAGCGATGCCTCAAACTACAAAAGAGGTAAGAATACATATAAATTGTTACGAAAACGAAATATGTGACAGGAGGTTTAAAAAAGACCAGAAGAAGTATTCACCTTCAGGAAATCAAAGCGTGACAGGAACCATGGAGCATCATACTAAGTTGAGATATCCCTGGCTAATAATGGGAAATATTCATCAGCATGCTGGTTTAAAAAATGAATTAAAAAGGCGCCACAATTACGAATGGGAATCCTGGAGACAATATCATTTAAGCAATAAACTGAAGTTAATGTATGAAACTATAAGACCAGAAAACTAAGGCTACTGAGTGCAAACAAAATCTGCTTTAAAGGAAATGGAAAATAATACAATTTAAAATCTCTAAGAAGAAGAAAAAGATGGCAACTACAGTAGTGAAAAATCTAAGTTAGATTTTAGGGTTATCAGTAAAAGTATAAAACAAGTGCACAACAAAGGAGATGCCTGAACCCATATAAGCTACAAAATGTCCGTTGGGAATATTGAGACTAAAGAAAAATATTTAGCGAAATTTGTTCACTTGTAATTCGGCCTCACAAAAATTGAAGACATTCTTCAGATGAAGACTTACAAGCCAAAAGAGCTGCGATCAAGTAGTAAAAGTAACCACCCAAGAAGTATCCACAACGCCAACAATGGCTGTTAGTGGACGGCAAAATACCCAAACGCCAGTATAAACTACCCGCGCAAATGCAATTGACTTCTAGGAGTGGTCGGAAAACAATTAAACAAATAATTGCTATAATTAGCCAGCAGTTAACTCCTAGAAAAATTACTTGCAAAAGCAAGAATAAAATAAAATAAAAAATTATATTCTAAACTATAAAACGTCAATGAATCAGCATGGATTTCGAAATGTGCCAGAGCCACCACAGCTTATTTGTGAGTTTACACGGCACGGAAGACATATAAGAATATAGAATGAATTTCCATGTTGTTCACGCTATAAATATATACAGCATTTTGTGAATTATTTAAGTTGTGGCAAAATGTGCATTTGGAAACTAGTAAATGAAGCAATTCCTGGATGAAACAGCACAGTAAAATCGAACTAATGTGTGCAGACCTAGGCAAACAGAAAAATGGATAAACAAAAGTATTTTTGATATAACAGTACTGTTGGTGTTAATGTGCATTATTATGCGCAGGTACATTTGCTCAAAATGTACCATTTGGATTAAAATGGAATCGCGTCTCAATGAAAGTCAAAAAGCAGAAATTTTTGCATGCATAAATGGTCTACATTACCGGAAAAATAGTAAAGCTTTTCGTTAAAAATAATTAGATCTCAATAGAAATATTTGCAATGGGATCGGGATTTCTGCTTGTTATTCTCATTTGCATAACTTTTGTTCCTCTGACACGCAATTTTTCTTCATTCGAAAGTCGTAAGTTCTTAGTACATGTGAACAGATTACGTTTACATTGAAAATCGTATTTGGATCGATAAAACTATGCAATTTTTTTTCAATCCAATTGCTTTCATGGTCAGGGTTATAAAAAGGATCAATTGTGTCAATTTGGCCAACTGAAAGGATTAAAGGATTAAAAGAAAAAACCGAAATTCTACTTATAATAAGAAACAGAGACTCTTCTTTATAGCAGTAAAAATAACAGAGCACGCTCAGAAACATTTGTCACACACTTAGTTACCTATTCCTAGAAATTTGGAAAAAAACAACCCCATTGAACTTGACCTGTGATTCATAATTAGAGCACACTGAATGGTTTCTCTTGAGTGAAAACATTGTTAAGCATAAATTACAGCTTAAGGTTCAGAGTCCCAAAATTCCTACGATCACAAAATAGGGATGAATGAATTCGGCAGCGGTAAGTTTCATTTGAGGTCTTAAGTAAAAAGGTGAGAAGTCATTTTCGGTTCCTTACTGGATATGCTTTTTAGTATTGGATTTCATGTATACTGTGTTTTGATTTTAAATTCTTCGTTATTTTTAATAATCCTGAGGACAGGTATTTGTTTAGTTCCGCGTTTTTTGAAATCTCTGGGCTAGTCCTAAATTGACTACTTGAAATGGTACGTTCTATTAAATCATGTTTTATCGTGTAGCCCGATCCCTCCCTTCAAGTTCACTTTAAAGGTCATCGAGGTGCTATTACTAATGTTAGCTTTAACCCTAATGGAAAGCAGTTAGGTATGCCTTCACGTGACCTAATTTTTGTAGTGTCATCGTCCCTCGATTGTACCTTAATGATATGGAACATTAAGCCGCAGACTCGTGCATACAAACTTACCGGGCATGACGATGCTGTTTTATGTGCATGCTTTTCGTCGAGTGGTGAGATTGTTGCTTCGACGTCAAAAGATCGTACCGTTAAACTTTGGGTTCCGAGTGTGTAGGTTTCCCGCATTTTATTTGTATTATTTTCCTGGTTTTGTAGAAAAGGCGAGTCTGTGACATTTCGAGCCCACACAGCAGCAGTATGGTGGGTTGACGTGTCACCTGATAACAAGTGCCTTTGTACTGCTTCATCTGACAAGTCCGTTAAAGTGTGGAATGTTCATCGACAGAAGTTTTTGTATTCTTTAAATAGCCACGTGAATTGGGTGCGGTGTTGCAAGTAAATGCGCCTGCTTTTGAACGTATTTTAAGGTTTTCCCCAGATTCCCAGTTGATTGCGTCAAGTTCAGATGACAAAAATATTAGGCTATGGGATTGTCGCAATCAGGAGTGTGTGTGTGCATTCTCCGAATCAGGTGGATTTGCCAACCACATTGATTTTCACCCAAGTGGAACGTGTATTGCCTCTGGCAGTTCAGCTTCCATTGTTAAAATATGGGACCTCCGAATGAAACGCCTGCTTCAGCAATATAATGGTGAGCCATGGGATTCCTTCCCATCTCATTTTTCGCATTTGACCTCTACTTGGGAATTTCCGCCGTTGATGGTCTATTGTATGCATCCTGAATATATTGTCGTGTTGTTACATTTGCCTTGGCTACTAAGTTAACATTTTTAGTTTTTCGAACAAACCATTGCGATATTTTTCTTTCAGATCATACGGCATCCGTGCTAAAGGTTAGCTTCCACCCAACTGGTAATTACCTTCTCTCAGCGTCCGAAGACTCTACCCTCAAAATCTTTGACCTACTCGAAGGACGTCCCATCTATACCCTCAGTGGTCACAAAGGTGCAATCACCGCGGCTGTGTTTTCTTCGTCAGGTGCTCAGTTCGTTTCTGGTGGAGCCGATGAACAGGTGGGATGTCGGGCATCATTATCCACATTTGTATTTAGTGGTTGTTCAGTTCAGTAACTAAAGTGAAATTTTCGTTTGATTGTTGTATACCTTCTACTGACTATCTATCAGTAGCCTGATTATTTGTTGGCAGGTGTTTTTGTGGAACACGAACTTTGACCAATCCGCCGATCCCGTTGAAGATTCACGTGACTCCGTGATGGCCTCAACTCGTATCCGCCATTCCGTTCTGGTGGAGCGGAGGCCTCCACGTGAGCATTACTGCAGTCACCGGTACAAGGAAGGTGGTGAGGCGGAATGCGACACGTCCTGCACTAACTCTTCTGATCCGTCACGGCCTCCGATGAGTCAAAAGATCATTCACTACCAGGACAGAGGTACAACTGAAGTGGTGGACTCCGCGGACACCGCGGGTGGTTCCTTTAAGAAGCCAATTCCGCAGCCGTTATCTTCGAAGGTTCGTCTTCTGTTTAGTGTGGGGTTAATTCTGAGGAATATATAGCGTTGGTTGTTAATCTAAGCTATATGAATGACCTGGCGCTAGGATAATCTTTGTTACCTATAACAGTTAACTTGCTATAAAGCCATAAAAAGTCCCGTTTAATTAACCTCAGATTCGTTTATATACCACTCCAATTGAATGCTCACGGCTGTTTATCTGTCATCCGCAGTCGCGACCAAACTCTCATCAAGTCGGACTTTAGATCAATTCTTCTCGTCCACTCCCGTTCTCGGATTCTGCCGTTTTAGTCATGGTTGTACATGTAAGATGCCACTCAAACCAAAATTGGCGTCGACTTTTCATTGTAGTTTTGTTCATAGCAAACGTGTTTAACTTCAAGTCCTACCTTCGAACATCCCTTTGTGAATGGCCCTCTTCAGGCTTTGAGGTTTAGCATGTTGATTTGCCGTTACACTGCATTTGAGTGACTAGCTTGTGCACCAAGGAAAACAACACACTTGCTTCCTTCTTCTTTGTCCTAGTTGAACTCAGACAATCCTACATCGGTTTGTATGTCCGTTAGCAGTCAAACTGCGCTGTATACCACGTGTTGTTGTTTTTTTAAACAAACCTTGAGCAACTCTAAAATGAGGACCAAAGCATCCCATCTGTGACCCTTAATCTACCCATCAGCTGTTCCTGTGGGACATTTTATTATTGACCACTTAAGTCCTCAGAATGCGCCTAAGTTTCAGTAATGGCCTTTAACGTCCCCTAATGTCGCTCTAATTGCCAATTCGCATAACCTACTTGGCATCTGTTTAAACGGTCACCTCAGTTGTGGCAGAGGGTGAATAACTCTCGTGGCTATTTTTGTATTGTAGCACACACTTCCTCGAGTGGCTACACCCGCGTGTGGTGATTACCAAAGGGTTTAATTTTGTTTTTTTGCCATGGTGAATAGGCACTCTTTCTAAATTGGTCGAACCATCGTGGGAATGACATCTTGTCGAGTTTGTGCCGAATTAACGGAGACTGGGGCTCTTTTGGACACTTGCCACATGCTTTCTGTCTTGAGGTGTCTTTCTAACGCAGTAATTTACTGGGAAACCATGCTGTTTGATCCCAGATCAGTTCCACACACACGCATATTCACACCTCAAGGTCTTTGTCACTTGCAGGAGAACCACCACCAGCAGCAATATCAGCACCATGCAAATTCCAGTTCAAACATGAACGGTGGCAATGCAAACCTTCCTTCCAGCATCTCTTCCACCCTCGAGAACATGATGGCTCAGCTAAATGTGCTCACACAGGTACGTGCACTTGTCCCTGCGCCTCTAACTCCTGTCTGAGTTTATCGTTCGTCGGTAATCTTAGCTCCAACCTCTAGACAGCGCATCTGCCCAATGATTTTTTGCAAGTTACCACACCTTTATCGGCAACTCGCGGTTTTCGCAACAAACATCCACAATTCCGCGTGCTCTACGTTTCTCGTTCTCTTAAAAGTTTTGCTGTTTCGTCACGACTACTGTACTGTTTCTGTACGCAGATGTATTTCTCGTCGTAACCTCCTATTGTTACATGGATCTATGAGTCACCATGGTCATCTGCTCTTTGGAGTTGTATGTCAGCCTGTTTGCGAATTCGATCCATCCGATGCATTGTACTTTTTCGTCAACATATTGCATTTTTTTGTTTAATTCCTACCGGTAGCACTAAGATTATGCTGTGTCTACTTTAACTCGGAAAAAAGGCCCTTTTCCTGCTTGAAATGATCTTTTTTGTGAATGTTTGACTCTCGTGGAGGCGAGTAATTTTCTCCAAAAATCGAGGGGTGGAGATTACAGGAAGTCGCAGTTGATTCGCTTTGCCACTGGAGTCAATATGTGGGTTTCTGCATTGCGCTCCTAGTCACAACCTTGTCTTGGGTCGTGGGTCTTGTCGAAAACAAATCACCGCCTACTGCTACTGCGCAAAATCGTTCTTGTTTAGCAAACTTGCCCACCATCATGTGATTTTTGCTCAAGTGACATTTCGTCTATTTTAAGGCACTCTTCAAGTCGAATTCTCCCATCAGTGCACATGTTTGCGCGTTTTTTTCTATCGCTGTGAAGGAAACAAGTAAATTTAGACGACACCAGTCGATAAAAATGAGTTACTGCTCTCTAACGCTCTTATGAAATTTATGCCCCCAATTAACTGGTTGATCTTGATTTAACCCAGTGAATGCCCTTGTGATTCTAACTATAGAGTGTCGGTCCAAGTGTGAAGTGGCAGCACCTCTCTCTCTAACTAACTCGGCCCTAAAATGCCATCGAGCTTGATGCAGCATTGGTGTGTTGTAGCCACGCTTGTCGTGTGCACCTAGAGCCTACTGGATGCCAAATTACGAGTTGATGGGGCTTTTGTGCAGACATTGTTCTGATGCCTTCGAATCTGCCAGTTCTACTATGTGCTTTTCGCGTTAACCGTCTCTGTGAGTTGATTTGAGCCCCTGTGGCAGTGGTGAAGTGCGTCAACTGCCAGCCTTTAAGGTGGATTCACTGAGTGGGTGGGCAGTCGTGTAACCACGCCTCAGTTTCGCTGTCACGCGTGTTTACTCCACCCAAGGCACTTGAAACCAGAATGTCAACTGGTCTAGTGAGGTTTCTGGGGCTTTAGCTCATCTACTGTCGGTTCTCTTGCTCCAGCAGGCATCAACGAGGTCAAATAACCTGACAATGACGGCGTTCATACCTAAATAGGTACTCGCTATTCGAAATAAGTAGATGGGAACGTTGCACCATCAACCAATGGCGGTCTGTTCAATAACGCCAACAGTTCAAGATGGTAGTGAACTCCACCAATGAGATTGCACGATCAGCACGGCTCAGAGCGACTAATGAGTGTAACAGTGTATCGAATGCTTGTCCGGGTCATTCTTGTTGCTTATCCGTCATTTCCTCCAGTGGTAAGGCTCCAAATTTGCTCCAATAGCTTTTTTCATTCATCCATCTCAAACAGCTCGCTTTGTCGGGTCGGTTGATGGTCTTGGAGATTCGATCAAGCCCTGCAAATTGAGACCACTTGTGAGCACAAGGGAATGCGTGTTCTAATTATGGAACTGTACTCTAGCCCGTGGAGCGCACGAGAGAGCGTGTGATGGCATGCGGGACTGGGAAGGCGTGCTTGGCGACAGACCTAAAAATACTCGCTTTCGGTTTGTGTGCACACGCGATACCCGCCTTTTCCTGTTGCTTTTCAAGCAGCTTTGACTGTTGAAGGGTATTAGAAACCTGGTGTGTGTAGTGGACGTGTTGCGATCGCGTGGAATGGCTGTCGAAGGACTAGGAGTGTTGGGCGCCGACTGCTACCATGTTGGAGAAGTGGTGGAACCCTTGCGGATGTAAGGTGTTCGAGGTCCGTACTTTGAGGCATTTCTGTAAGCAGTGTGGTTTTGTTTCACGCAATTTCGTGCCTTCCCTTCATTGGACAGAAAATCTCTTGTTCTCTACCCGTACGAGATTCAGCCCCTGGCAATTGAACGCACCAAGTGTCGTGCTGCATTCCCAAGCAAGTGGCATTTAATGTGTTGGCTTATTAAGCAGACCTTTTAACTTAAAGGTGCTATAATGAGGAACTGGTTTGTCTTTCATGCAACTTGAAGAGTACACCTCGGTTCCACGTGATCGTCACCTTTTCCACTCCCGTTTTCGCGTCAAAGCGTTCCTTGCGGTTGGTAAAACTAGTAGTGTCTAATTCGCTGCTCATGTTCTATTGGCTGATTTACCTGCTGTGTGATTTTGAGCTAAAATCGCTTATTACCTCCCTGTGTTTATAATTTCCACTCTTAGACTGTCTCAATCCTCGAACAACGACTGACCATGGTGGAAGATGCGTTTGGCCAGAGAAAATGAGCATCGCCCAGTTCCCACCTCCAACGCCTCTCAACCGTCCGAAATGTTCTCACGCACGCGCATTTACTCAAATCATACACGCACCCCATTGCGTACCAAATTACCTCGTTTTATCAACTAAACGCACTTTGTCGACTCCACTTATTTGTACCCACCTTTTCTACAATCTGAGTGTGCATTTACCGACCATAATTTTTTTTTGGTGTTAATCGACGCCAAGAGTAGGCCTTGAGTGCTCGTTTAAAGGAGGACTTCGCGGTTATTTTGCGTAAACCTCAGACCACCTCGGAAGCCCCTTGTATCACCTCCCACTCCTCTTTTTGTTTCCTCAATCACCGAGAGAAAAAAGCACCAAGTGGTCTTGTGCTGTGTTTGTGGGGTCGGCAGCGTCTTTACCTAGGAGCGAATCGTGCTAGTGCGGGTCGCACAACTCACCAGTTGGTGCGCAGAGCCAGTTTGCTTGATCTGGGTTTCCGCGCGTTTCGTGTTTTTGCCCACCAAAACCCTCTGAGAAGTCGATGTGGGGGCGTTAACTGAGCTCAACTGCTCCCGTGGGCCACACCATGCCTAGCTGTTTTCGTGTGACACCTTATTTGAGAGCAGTTAAGGGGTGGTACCTACGACTGCAGAGAAATCAAGCATTCTTGAGCGTCAAATGTTGCCCTTTAGTCTAGGATTGTTCCACATCGCTTCTCTCTGTGCTGACGCAAGCCGTCAAAACAGAAGCAAGACGTGATTTTCAAAAATGAATTGTATTGACACGGATGCTTCTCGTTCCCTGGTAGTTAGTGGCTATGTCTTCGATTTCATCCTCGAACATACGAAACATGAGGAGCTCTATTGAGGCGCTATCTGGAATAAAGAAGAATGCCGAGAACGGTACGTCCTCTTTTTCAGGGGGAAAGGCCTTGTCAAGTTGGGCTCGAGTGACGTAAAAGTTGTTCTCCCTGTAATTCTGGAGACCTCGTTTCCTTAACTCTGTCTCAGCGTCAACGTGGATTTCTCTCATGCGTTTGCCGATGAATTCCTCGAACCTGCTCTCCTGTGGGTCGTATTCAATCAGGAATGCCTCGATGATGAATGCGAGGACAATGTTGAGCACCAGTAGGACGCACATCCAGTGGATGAAAAGGAAGAACAGTCGGTAGGACTTGTCAGTAACTCGAGTGAAACCGTCCGTGAGGATGTGCCAGTTGTTGCCGACGCTGAGGACGAAGAGGGTGGCGAAACTTGATGCCGCATCGTTGAAATTCAGGCCGCAGTAGTGCAGTTGCAAAAAGGAACTCCCTTCCAGGTTGTGGTTGCGACACGCGTTTTCGATGGTGTAATTGTGGCCCTTTGGCACAACAAACAGCCCACCGAACAATTCCATGCCCACACACGCGAAGATGTAGAAGAGGATTAACAAAATGGTCGCGTACGCACAAAGGGATGGAAGAATAATGATGATGCAGTTGATTATGCACTTGAAAATTGGCACCTGACCGACAATTTTGAGCAGACGGAAGAGGCGAAGCAGGAGAAATGCTTGGCCAACCGAAGCTGGCGCACGAATTTCGAACAAGTCGAGAATGAGGTTCATCAGCTGACCGGTGAAAGCGCCAATCACGATGGCCATGTCGAAGATGTTCCATTTTTCTTGAAAAAAGTTGACCCCTCCAGAGGCGAGATACTTTAGTGCAATTTCGAGCGTGAAGATCCCTGTAAAGATCCATTCAAAGTAGCCCTCTAGTGGGGTCCCATCAGCCATCACTAGTGTAATCCCATTCGCCACGACCATCAGGTCAAAGAAGATGCGTGTTGGCTTGCAGCGAATGAACCTCACTAGCTGCTGAAACCAATCCGATGTGTAGATTGTGTAAAAACGTGGCAAGTAGCGCTCGAAATGTCTCCTACCGATGACCACCTCCTCGAAATTTAGCTGCATGTACTCGGTGAGACGCGCGAATTCCACCTGACTGAGTCCAGTCTGTCGTGCGTCGAGGATGTCGTAGATGAGAGCAATTGAAGCCTCCGATCGATTTGGCATGACTCTCTGTATGAGGGTGACGAAAAGATCGCGGGAGACAGCGTCATTTCTCTGCAGGATTTTGAATGCTTGATCGAGGATATTCTTCCGCTTCACCAGGCTCGACAGCACAAATTCACGCAGGTGACCCTTGTAGGCGTTGTAAACTGACGCCGTTAGGATGCCCATAAACAGCCAATTACAGGCGACGCAGACCCACACATAGATAGCCATATAGGCGATGTGCTTTTCATAGGCCGGTATAATTACGTCAGGAGAGTTCGAGGTCGTCGTAAGGACGTAGAGTTCCCAGGCGATTTCGCCGAAATTTGGAAGGTAGGGCGCATTATCAAGGCTCATCATGCCTCGTGTATCGAGTAGTTTCAGTGTAACAACACTGACAAAAAGGAGACTGGCAACAAACATCGCGAACACCGAGATAACGTCTTCAGCTGTGCGTCTGATGTTCTCGAAGGCTGCTCTGATTCGCTTGTTCTCAGGGAATGTGAGGAGAAGCGCTGGCCTAAGAAGTCGTGACCAACGCATTGGATCGACTTGTCCAGTGGTGTGTTGAATGACGTAAGTAATGTCATCGATTACCATCAAACAAATGAAAATAAGAGACGCCCAAAATGATTTGTTCTTTTTCATAAACCGAAAATCCGCGACAGTGAAAATGTGAAGCCATCGTAAAAAGAAGTACATTTCACACAAAACATTTAACATGAGGGGAACATAATAAGGCAATGGTTTTCCACCAACCACAACTGAAGCCGGCTCCTCCAATAGAATGGTGAGAAGATTTATTGTCATGAAAAAGTAGTATAGCCGGACCAAGTACAAATTAAAGTACTGGTTATAAAAGCGGACTGTGAAGGGCTGGTGGAGGTATTTAATGTCCAGACGGGATTGGCAGGCGTCGATGAGGAGAGACAAGGCCAAGTCAAAGTCGCCTTCCCCCAAGTTGAAGTCTCTAGCCCTTTTCAGGCTCTGTTTTCTCACCATTTCGGGGGCACCGCCCACCACTCACGTGACTTCCCCGTCTTAAATCTCGTTGTTTTCTTTTGAACGGGCAATCGATAGAGTGAACCCTTCTGCTGGTTCCACAAACATTCATTTGACGCCTCGTGAACGCTATGTCACTTTGGTCACGACTCAAACTCAGATGAATGCCACTAAGTCCTGGCCATTTTATCGTCATGAATCATTCGACAAGTGCAACGATTTGAAGGATTTGGCGAGTAAAAGACGTCCAAGCAAAGCTCTTTATTGAAGCGTCTTTTCTCCTACTATGTGAAGGCTTCCACCTCCTCCGTGTACCGGGTCTGGCAGATGGTTTAGTAGATGTCATATCTCTCTCGAACGCTGAAGTCTACAAGTCACGATGCATCAAACTTCTTCCAAGTTGTGCCAATTCATACTGGATGTCTCTGCACATAAACAATGTCCATTCACCTCTTTTGGCGGACAGAATGCTCTCACATGGCACTTCGATTTCCTAAAAGGCCACGCCTTCAACAGACAAGTGATATTGCACTAACACATGCAATGTCAGTGTTCCTGATTAGGGAGGGCATCTTAGGCACTCAGTAACAATCGGCGACTGTTATACGTCAGTTGTGCTGAAAACGCGCAAGGCACAACATAACAGACCTATCCGGGGCCTTAATTGCCACACATGTTATTTTTACCTTGGATTTGCTCATGTTGCCGACGTTGGCATCCCCCAAAACTATTTGTTGCAACGTTAGACACTTGACTTTTTTTCCAATTTTGAATCTCTCACGTGAACCGCGCACTCGTCCCATTGGCTCATTCATACTTGGAGCGTTCCATTTTATTGGCTCACCATGCATTTTACAGAGAGCCAACGCGGCTCTCTCAATGCCTGTATCTCTGGGCCCAACTTGAACAAGTCTACGAAACACTGTCAGGTATGCATAGTTTTCACAGAATAAGATTCCCAATGAGTTACATCGCGACTATTATACATTGTTTAATTTGCGATAGGCGAACAAATTGGAGGTTAATTTTTATTTAATACAAGCATTTGAGGTATCGCGAGGGGTAAAAGAACTTTTCACCAGCACTGGTGCGTACAAATGCCCAATCCCTGTTTCCCCTGCCGTCAGCCCACTGAATAACGACCAAGATGGTTCCTGGAAGTAGGCGGGTGGTTGTTTGTTGGTCGGTGTAGGCGTGGAGCACCTCAGCTAGACTGATCCGATCGACGTGGTCCACGGAGGGTTGATGCTGCGCTTCAGGCCTTTCGTAAGTGTTACGAGGCCGATCGTACACGTCGCCGCCCCCTGAATCTCGTCTCTGGATCCTCGACAGATATTCCCGCACGTCAGCAGCGATTTGCGCGTTGACCTCTGATGAGCTCAGTCGAGGCACGTCCTTGACCTTCAACAGAACAAAGGGAACATCCTGAATACGACATTTTGACAGTCGCAAATGCAACTGCAAGCGTTCCAGTGGATCACTTCACGTGCACAATTTTCACCTCGAACTGAAAACAGTTGTGCAAATTAAACAGATTCGAACTCTTTGCCATTAAATCTACGGTAAAGATGTGATCTTCGTGATGGAAGTGTGTTTTTAGTATTCCGCAAGAATTAGGAATAGGTTTCGTTCCAGACGTTCCATTCAATCATTCGAACAATTTTTATGCACTTTAGACAGCAGAGTGTGCTTTTATATTGGTGTGTTTAACAGTGCCTGCATGTCGAATGTCAAGTGAAATGACTCTTTTTCGTCGAAATTCGTCATGAGCAACTCATAGTGTTCTTTTTTCTGATTGAATGACTTCGACGACTTCACGAAAACCTCTTCTCATTTGACAGTCCCATTCAATAGCATCGAATGGAACTGTTGGTCAAACCTATCCTGCACGTGTTTTAGTGGTCCACGTTAGCCACCACTGCAAAATTCACCATGTGCTGAAGCAAACTTAAATAGACGCCTCAACTATCCATCATGCAGGCGCGAGAAAGCTTCTCGTTGATACAAAGCGCAACACTTTGACGACTAATTCAGCCTTCACCCAACCCAACACCACATCGCACATCACCATCAAGCGGTTGGGTTAGAACGCGATCAAGACGCCTATTCAGATCTGCTTCGCTAATCTGACCAAAGCATAATTCTGCTGCGCGATTATTAGTGAAGGAACTAGAAACAACTTAATCTGACTGACTTACATAACGTTGGACGAGGTTGGTTGGGTTGATCGCTGCGTAGGCAAGGAACACTTGTACTTGAAATAAGTAGTAGAACAAGAGGGTGTTTAGCACCTTCTCGGACCGGTTTAACATGAACTCGGTTCGAGTAATTGCCAATCTCTCCTTCGACCGATACTCCGTCAATGTGGATTGAATGCCGGAGATGGGGGCTTTCCCCTTCTACAAGAAAAATTTAGGTGACTTTGAAATCTGCCAAAGCCAGTCCGCCAGTTCATCAATCTGCTAAAACCTAAATCTAGTTGCCAGTGGCTACCAGTTGCTGTTGGCACAGCTTGGACTGACATCTGAGTGTTTTACCTCAATTCTGTCATAACTAAGTGTGAAATATTGATTGGTTGGTAGGAAACTCACACATTGCTTTGCAATATCCATGGCATTGTTCTTCAACTTTTTCAATTGAGCTTTTAGCCTTTTTAGTGCTTGGTTCAACGTCTTCAGTCGATCTAAGACGTCTGAACAGGCTTTATCGAACTGAAATTTGAAAAAAGGTGCAAAATGAAAAACGCCTGAGGTACCGAAGAAGCCCTTGAGTTAGGTGCAAATTGGATGCATTTACTGGTACTGAAGACGAAGGTTTCTCCTCTATAGTGACTCCAAAGGCACCCTCTGCGACAATACTAGCCTTTAAGTAAGTGAGAGTCACGAGTGTTATTCATAGCCTTGGCCATGATTGGTCGTAACCCCCGGTCAGTGTCCTTTTACTGGGCTAGTGCAGCATTTTGAGTTGAGCGTTTTGCGAAGTGACTTTTGTCATTGTCCTCTGCTCTTGCCTAGTCTGACATTGGTTCGTTTAACACGGCAAACAACCCAGTAGAGTTTAAAATCTGGAAAATTCCCGAGCGTGGCAGTTCCGTGCACACACCAGAAGCACAATTCAGCACACTTATGCTTTAAACACTTGAGCGATGCTACAGTAGACCTTGCGTATTTTATTGTGCGAACACGACGAATTCGCCGTATCCAAGGTCCACTTCCGACTCCCGAAACGAAGCTACTTGTTTAAACAAGCACAGTTGATTCGGCAGAGCCAAGCAAATAATGCAGGATTGGTGGCACAATCACGGCTAGAAGTTTAACGCACCTTTTCTGGTGAATATTTGGATCTAATGAGACCAGCTTTGCCCGCGTTGAGGTCCTCGTCGATGTAAACGCCTTCAAGTGAATCCAGTGTTTTCAAGGTTAGCTGGACCTTTTTTATAAGACTTCGGCGATTCTCCACAAACAACTGCAACCGAAAAGAAGGGATTTATCTCAAGAAACAACAGAACATCATCTAAGTAGTATACTCACCTTCAGGGCCTCCCTTCTTGATTCAATCCACTTCGACAGGTCGTCGATGAGTGTGCTGAGAGCTGCTCCCTTCTTTCGGTAGTACGTTAAACGGGTATTTTCCTTTAAGAAAATTTCAGTAGTTAAGGTAACTTGTTTGCAGCGTGTCTGCGCTTTTATGTGACTTTATAACCAATTAAATGCGTGGAACGAACAGTCAGTTTGTTTTCACACAAAAAAGGTGCAGTTGGTAAGTGGGTGTAAGAGCCAAACTTACTATGGTGAAGTCAGTGCTCTTCTGGGTATTTGTGTTGTCCGGTTGTACTATCACATCCTCACGAATTGAATCTGAATAGTTTGAGAACAAGCGTCGAATCGATTGGTTGAAATGGAACAGACATAATTCCTGTGCAAGACTATCGTAGTTCTATTTTCTATGAACACGAATCAATATAATAAAGGCCTCACTAACTTGTGATAGTCATCTTGTGGCCTGTGAGGTACCGTTGTCGTAAATGTAAAAAATGATAACGCATTTCTACCCGGCACACTTGCACACAAAGTGCAAAATATGTGATTATCTTCATTCCTACATCAAGTAAGCCTTACACAATGCACCTCACAGAAATCGAAAAAAAAGTGACTAAAGGGACGTTGGTACTGTGCTCACATTCGTTGTCTTCTTTTTTGGCTCTTTCGGCATCGTCGCAGGCCGCGCGAACACCATTGATGGCGCATTTGACGCTGACACAGTCAGGGTGGGTTTCAGGGGTGTACTGTAAGTAAGAAATATCCACATTTTAGACTCTGGAAGTCAACCAAGCAACAAAAAACACAAGCCAAAAAGCGCGGCAATCGTGGCATGGCGTCATTGGAAATTTCAGTCAGAATTAGGGCTGTCGGGGAATCAATTTGTCCGCCAAGCGATTAAATCAATAAATTATATTCACTCTCCCGACCAACCAATGAAGATCGACTCACACCATCAACTTTGTGAGTGTTTCGGAATCAACAACCTACAATTCAATTGATTTGGGGGACGGAAATCGATTAACTCTTCCCAAGTTCATGCCTAGGCTCACATTGAATCCACGAGTCTGAGATAACTTTTCTCTCAAGAAATGGAAAATCACGATTTGGCAAAAACAATCACCAGAGTATAACACGAATTAGACGATCACTCATTGGCACCGCTTAGTGGTGCCAAAAATCATTTATACAGGGACTGCCTCATAGGTAACCTATCGTGTTAGGGTGTGTCACATGCTACAAATAACCATCGTTGTAAGTAGTTTGGTTTTCTCACTTGGCTATAGAAACCACCGATCAACTCTCAGATTGCGATAAGCACATTAACAGTATGTTGATCGACATAGCATGTTCTGAGAATATTTGGCCACTGTCTTGGGCGCTGTTGTTTTTCCAATATTTCCGTTAGTTGTTAAAATGGAATGGCAAAATAGTTGAACAAACTGAGTATGTAGAGCTACCATCTTGTGTGGAAAATCGTTCGACAACCCACCTTCTTTAGTCGGCCCAGTATGTTTAAAACGTTGAATGGCCTCTGAAACGGTGTTAGCAAACGATCAGTGAGGACTGCTGCTGATCCGTCCTCCTTCTGGAGAACTGCGGCCGCCTTGTCAAAGAACTCTGCCAAATGTGGTCTCTACATAGACAAACAAATTGGTAAACATCGAGTTTTCGTCGGATTTTAACTCGGATAGACAATTAGGTACCAAGATGACATATGACTGTCTCAGGCAGGTCAAACGCTAGCGTCATTGGATCCGTCTTTAATGACTTTATCTGCGTGAGATCTAAGTTCAGTCAATTACACACTTCCGTTTGATGTACCGGACAGGATTTTCGTTTCGCGGAGGAAAGTGTTTGGAATCAGCTGTCCGTGCAACAATACCCTTCTGTCTTACACATCCACTGGACTCCTAACTAGGTCCAATGTGGGAACCACATAACTATTGCCAATTTATCAACTACTACGTAGAGTTACCACGTACTAATTGTAATGAAAGTACCATTATCTACCACCTCTTAACACAATACCAGCATATTCTGCCAATTGTAAGCAATAATGCGGCAAATTTCTCACATGTTGTATAATTTTCGGGTCGTAGTCCTTAATGTAGGCGACAATTTCTTTATGGAATGCCGGAATCGTTGGGAGTAGGTGTTTGCCTAAAGAAGGAGACGATTATAAAAGCGTGACTGCGCAAATAAACAAAAAAATATTACCGATATTCTAGCCAGACAGTTGCATTCAATGCCCGCATCTCAACACAACAACCCGCGGCGTCTTCCACTTGGTCGCTCACACTACCACGTCCTGGTGAACGGGTCCTCATGGAAATCAGCGTCCAGATACAGGTGGTTTGAAGCACATGACTTGCAGTAAGTCGTTCCCGAGTAAACCAAACCATTACAAAATCATATTTTGACCTACTCGCGCAAGCTACTTGGGCTACTTCATAGAAGACGAGGTTATGTCAAATAAGGGTCGAACTATCATCGATGCACGATCCCAATCTAACACATCATAAATATCTTTGCCATTCCAGAAGGCCTTAGATCTTTGTTTCTCGATGTGTTCTTAAATATTATGGGTCACATTTAAAAACGATGAGATACTAAAAGTAGATGAATGAGGCATGGGTTTTGTAGAAGGCATGGCACTCGCAAATAAGCATATTTGGCGTGACCATGGCTGCTTAAAATTTGTGTGAAACCCTTGCGTTCTCGATTAGCCTTGATGCATTCCGGTACCGCCTGATATAATTAGCACAAAAGCATCCTTGTGTGCGGTGTTTCTCCACGTTACCTCTCATCGTATTTCTACTCTTGAGTGGAACGATCAAGGGATTCTGTGCATACATATAAACCAATTGGGATACGAGGCCGTGATTCTCGTTAAAATGTATCAGCAAATTAAAATATTGGCGATGTGTCTAGCTGCAGGTGGTATGAAGAAGGCTGAAACAGAATCGAAATATCGACCACTGGGAAATGGTGCAGAATGCCAGCGCACGAGTTTTGCCCAGTGTAGAAGATTGTCATGACCGAAGTGATGCGTGTCAGTGACTCTAACTCCTATTCTAGCCTTCGAATGTTAAGTTCTGACGTTAACATTGCGTCATTTGACTAGTGACTTGTAGAAAATCTCCATTTCTAATGATTAACACAGCATACTCAATACATATGCCAAGTAGATGTGTAGCATAGGATGAAAAATCCGTGTGTGGTAAGGAAATGCTTTCCTTTTAAGTGAAACACACCACGAATGCATGTTTCTTACCTACGCAAGCCAAGGCAAGGTTCCTATTTGGGGCCTCATCCACAGCACGTTCATAGGCCTTAATCATTTCTGCAGACACATTAATATAGTCACTTATATTCAGTAGTACTGCTTGCAGGTCTTCTGGGGCAATCTAAAAGGTTTAACAAGTCGTTTTATAGGCTGGCAGAGCCGTCGAACCGTCAGGAGCAAACGAGAGAGGACATAATTAGTCTTGTTGCATAGAAGGTGTAAAATAGCTTAAGCGTATTTGTGTATTGTGCTAGCATCTAGAGATTGTAAATTAAAAATACTGCTTCTACATTTCGCACTATTTTTCTTCGGCCAACAACGCCAAAAGACAACTTAATAAGGGAAACAAATATGCCCTTTGTACAACTATAAATAGTTATCTTCTGGTAAATTCAACTAGCAAATTTTCAAAAGCATGATCTTTGAGGGATCACAAGAGATAAGCAACCGATTTTACGGTGGACAAAGACTCACTGGAACAGGAACGAGTCCCTTCGTCAAGACATTATTAATGCATGTCATGTGGGTTTTGAATCGTTTTTCATTCTCGATAAGCTCGGCAACGACGTTGGCACGCTGGGTATCAGTGACCTCTTCTTGGGGTTTCTTCGGAGGTCCCGAGGGGCTAAGATGATAATTGAAGTTCTTCGGTGGTAGATCAGGTGGGATTTTATCGTCCTCGTGATTTTTGGATCCCGGGTATTGTGAATTAGACCCCGCTTTACGTGGCAACGGTGGTGCCGATAAATTTGGACTCATGTGTTTTGCGGCTGTAATTAAGAAATAACAGATGTGTGCATAAACAAACAGGGTTATATGTGTCTAAAAGCAACCTAGTCATTACCAATTAATACAATATCCCTTGAGACATGAACATTTTGAAATCAAACTTGATTGCGCGGTAGCAACATCAATTGGAACAAAAAACTGGCCTAGTCCTTTTGAATTGGTGAACACAGGCAAAAGCATTTAGCTTTTTTTAAATTTAACCAAAAAGAGGACTTATGTGAAGCAGGAAAATGTCATCGTTTTAAACATTAAAATAAAAACTAATTCAAAGCTCGATGAAATCATGTCAAAAAATCGAACACATTCGGTATTTTTAGACCTAATTACACACACAAATAAAACCTGTGATTACGTAGCCGTAATAAGTAATGTTTTGATATTATTTAATAATAAGCTGAACGCATATAAATCAGCCGTGGACTTTTATACACATCTTTATTAATAAACCTCAAAAGCATATATCATTGTCTGAAACTTACGGTATATTCTTTTTGGTAAGGGCGGCGCTCCGTTTATAGTTTTTTTGTAACCGTCCATTGTTTATCTGAGACTAAATTGAAAGAAAAATTGCTTATATTACTTGTGTGAAAATATATTAAAATTATCTCACTAGAATAAGCACAACAAGAGAATCAAAATGCTTGCTTGTGTTTAAAAATCATTGCTGTTTTTTAGGTGCAGAGTGAAGCTACTTTGTTGTCTAATTGCGCATTAACATCCATAGAATCAGATAACCAAATACGATCGTTCAGGGTAGACTAGATTATATAGACATGGTACTTAAAAGTAACATGAGTTAGAAACGACTAAGTCAATTAATAAATATTGACTGCTTAAACAGAGAAGACTTAGAATCATTCGCAATTTCAAAAAGATGGCCTCAGATATACGGAGTAAAAGGAGATCACGCACCCAAATAACACACTAAGCAATGGAGATAAAACCTTTATGTAAAAATAAAAATGAGATATAGAATTTTTGAGTAGTGATTTATACCACTGTAAAATCCAGTAAAAATAATCAAAACAGTGTTGTAAAAAATCACTTGCAAAAGTGATGACCTTTTACTCCTAAAAACTAAGATACCAGTTAGAATGCTCAGTATTCACATGGTACCCAAATCTCTAGTGTTAATACATTTAAGACGAGTAAAATACTAAAGCGTACTTAGAATTGTCTAAAAAAGTAAAACAGAAGTAAAAGATGCCTTTAGAAACGCAGGTGTGCTCATGAAAAAAACCAGACTAAGAGAACTGCAAATACATAATTGTTAAAATGACAAACCCGTGAAGAAACACAACAGTACCAGCAAGCTTAATGTCAGCGCCTAAAAACCAAAGGTCGACTGCCTGATTGGAGAGCAGTAAAAGTAAATACATATTATTTGTCTTAATTAATATTGATTGACATCTGTGTTTATAAATTATTGCAAGCACTTTCCGAAAGCTAACTCTACAAAATCATGCGTAAAACGGTAAAGTAGCACAAATTTACATACAATTCAAGGAATATTTTATAGCAAGGAAGCAGACCTGTAATAAACTGTAAACAAGGAAATGTTCTTCGTTGCTGCTAACTTTGGTTCCATTTTATCTGCTTTATGATATATTTGGCACCATATCCAAAATTATATACCTTAACAGGAATATTGAGTGGGCTAAAAAATTCCCACATTTATTTCATGGCTGTTTTTTAAATGTGATCAAAATCAAGCTATGTTTTTTGTTAAATTCAGCGACTAAACGAAAAATTAGTAAAGTTATCACCCTAGTGTTTAAAAAATGCTAAAGTATTATTGTTTTGAGGACATCACACTTAAATTCGTATTTATATTTAAAATACGGATGGTCTAAGTGGACAATCACTAAGAATATACGTAAACTTACGATGACTATCTAAACGTCCATCTGTTGCATGCATTAGTATGCATTTATTCTTTGCCTTATGTTTTTGTTATAAAAAAACTAATTTGAACCAACAGTGGATTTAAATGATGACATGTCAAATAACAAAACTTAGACTTCAAAAATTTGGAACGTTTTTTATATTAACAATTCTATTTAATTCGGCTTGTTTATAAAAATATTTTAAATATTGTTGTTTTACTTGCTTACAAGTCTTTATATTTTTCTAAGCTGCTTGTTTTACTGTACAATTATTTGTTTCTCTAATAACAAATGTATATTTCAATATTGGATTACAGTTGGTGGGAAAGCGACGATGAAATTTGTGTGTCAGTGCCTCTTAAAGGAACGAACTCAAAGAATTGCGACATTTTTGTGTCATCACGTTACATTAAGGTATTTAAATATTGTTGTTAAATGCAAAGTAACTGTAAGTTAAATATGTATAAATAAGCTAGGATTTTTATTATTTTTTGTATGGGTTCTGATTCTTATTCATGTTTATATTTGTTTTATCATAATTTTGATGGAAAAAATTACTGTTTTTTCCTGACTGGTGTGTCTGGTTTATAGATGACATTTGTGCATCAAGGTATTATACATTTGTTACGGATCCATTTTAAGCTGCCTGCATTAACATGTTTCAATTTCATGTAATTTTCATTTTACCTGAAAACAATAATTTCGGCTGCATTAATAATCACATGCTTCATTGCGTATATGAGACCTTTTGATAAACAATGTATTTTGCTCATTATTTGTTTGCGCAAAGCTTAGTTGGTTGCACTGTGATTTGGAGCTGTGTTCTTATTAAACATTGATTTTAATTAATCTTTCCGTTCTGGATCCCATTGTAGGTAAATCAGTAATTTACTTGGGATTTTACCGCACACAGCACCTGGCTGCTAGCATAGTCGTTTTCCCGTGTTTAACTTAGTTTTGTGTCACTTAATGGTTTACATTTTCCGGCATATTTACCATTCTTTTTGTTGTGCAAATTAATGGAGCCCCTAAATTGTCACTAATTTCTTATCATGTGCTGATTTCCTGATAAATAATTGCCTTTTTTTACAGATCACCTTCAAGCCTTACATTTTTGAATGTGCCCTGAATGGCACTGTGGATGTTGACCGCAGTACCGTTGTGCTTGCTAATGGCTCAGCAAATTTGTCGCTTAAAAAAGAAGCTCCTTCAAAATGGGATAACTTGGAGTCTGATGAAATGAGTAGATTGTCCTTAAGAGGTGTTATCTAACCTTTTTTCCTTAAGAGAACAAGGAGGCCTTTATGAAGATACGCCAGGATGCCATAGCTGAGGTTCAAGCTCGTCAAGCTGCACGTGATAAAGCAAACCGCACAGAGAAACGTCTTGGCGAGAAGGCGTCACTGCAGGAAATGATGAAGGTGATTCTCATGCTAAACACGACGCAATTTACTTGATAGTGTTCAGAAACCATGCTTAAGGGCCTCCTAAGTTGTCACGTTATCAGTTATGGAGATTTAATAATGTTTTTTAAATATCAATGGTATCAATTGAGTATAGAGAGACGTGGATTTTTTTTCAGCTTGAAGGGGCTGAGCGCAGTCGCTATGAGGAGACAAAGAAAATGACCACCTTTACGGCGATGCAGGAATTGATTGAGCTGCAAAAAGAGAAAAAACGGCTTGCGGACGAGGTTTTTTTTCAAGTTTGTTTAAACTTGCCGGTGTAGAAAAACGCACAAATCACAGAGGCGATCGCCTTTGCCAGGTCGCGCTACGGTGATGCGCGGGCCTTGCCTGCCACCAAGACCAGTCAAAACATTTTTCAAAACTCTGAGAAACTGCACGTTCCAGTTCGGAGCTCCGACAAGATCTGCATTTCGTTCACACCGCGCGTCTTCCCTACCCCAGAAAGAGAATCGATGAAGGAGGATGAGGAGAGGGTAGTGCCGCTTTATTACCAATTGCATTCCGACAAAATTGGATTATTCCTTGTAGTAGCTAGAGTTTTAGCACTACCTTACAACCCTCTAGTTAACAGCCTGTAACAACCCGAGAATAGAGTGAAGAGAGGCGACAGAGAACGCAACCGTTTATTAACGTCACGCCAGCCAAGTGTCTGTCTTAGTGCGTGGATGAGTGATAAGCGGATGGCAGGCATCTGATAACAGTAACCAATGAAAAGGGCACGAGTCGTTGCCTCCTTCAGGTCAGTAACCCGGGTTCACTCAGGCGCGATCGCTGTTAGCCCGCTACATCCTCCGGCGTTTGTTCACAAAAATTTAGCAATGCATCAATTTCATAAGTTGTGAGTGGCTCTCAGTAAGAATCCAAAACTAAGTCAACTAACAGATCATGACTAAACGGTCATTAGCAAAGTTTTCAAATACGAATGTGGACTGTAACTTGATTTTATTGCACAATTTTACATCAAACCTTTCAATTTAATTACCATTATTCGCATAATAGGTGTGAAATTGTTCTATTGGTGTAAATTTTGTTCAGTTTATTTGCACATCTGTGCCACCCGCACGCAAGATGGACCTAAGTTCCTACTTGGTTTCTTGGAATCTACTTGGTAATTCAAATAGAGCAACATCTTTTGTAATATTGTGAAACTTAGATTTTTGTTGTGATTTGAACACATTACTACTAATTCAGGCGTAGTAGTAGTGACTGTTTATGTGTGAAATCACATCCGTTGCACTGCTTGTTGTTTCAGTGGCTTCAAAATCAAGCCGAACAGAGGCGAATTTTAGCCTCAAAGGTGGCTGAAAATGGCGACCTTTCCGAGGCAGAAAGAGACCCCCTGTGGCTTCAAAAGAAGGCTGCGTAAGGCTAATTTTGTTGAAGTCTTGTTGCAATTGGATTTCTACTTCCCTGCCTCATGGGTTTGCTGTGTTGTCGATAGGGAATTTTGTAAAAATAACAAACGTTACGTGTTTTTGTAACAACTGCGTGCAGGCTTCAATTTGTGCGACAGAAAAATATACGATGACATTTGAGAAACTGATTTAGTGGCGGGAATCTAACTAGGGACCGCTAGTGTGGTCAATCACATGCCATGTATGACTAGTTATCGGTATGTGAGCAATAAATTAAGCATAATCTTCTATATTCTCCAAAATCTTGGCATATCTGGTGCTCAAAGAACAAAACCTCTTCAGCGTACTTGAGATCATTCAAAATCCACATGACGGTCCTCGTATCAATTAATTCTCACCATTAGCAGGAGTCATGCACATCCAAGAGGGTAGGATAGGAGAGATTCGGAGGTGACTGTCACGGTAGCCAAGTGCCTCTTTTAACTAGCCAATCAGTGGCTGAGTCGTAAAATGGCGGTTCGTGATTGGGCAATCTGAAACTTCATTGGTCAATAATGCATCATCGACCAGAAATGCGACTTTTTTCTTCCATTTTCACATACTTTACTATGCTTAGATCCCTCTTTAAAGCTGGCGACTTCGAAGCTGCCGCATTCGCTTACTCGGAAGCACTGAAACGCGCGCCGAAAATGTCGTCGTATCCTTTATTTAGTAGAAAAATTTCCCATAGTTTAGTTTGTTCTGTGGCCTTGGCCAACTTGCGCATCCCAGCTTCAAATGTGCGTTGATTCCGCCTTAACTTGTGGCTCAGTCTTTATCTGAACCGAGCTGCGTGTCACCTTCAAACGCGGAATTTTTTCAAAGCCCTTGAAGATGCATCGACAGCGCTTGACCTCCTCAAGCCACCAGTGCCACAGAACTTAAAATCTCGAATCAAAGCCCACGTTCGGCGTGGAGTTGCATTCTGCAATTTGGAGATGTTCAAGGAGGGTAACTTCATGGATATTCATAACACTATTGCTACTTATCTTTTGTTAGTAGCTAGTTCGTGTTCATATTTTGGCAGGTTCAGATTTTACCCATTGTGTTTCTCTTTTTTTATTAAAGGCATATCTGAGTACGAGGCCGCGGCGAAGCTTAATCCGGACGACGAATCTGTACAGCAGGACTTGGCCAGACTGAAAGAAATGATGGCAAGACCGAAGCAGCGTGTTCCTCCCCCTCCCTAATGAACTCCGTCTGTTCTGCACGCGTGTAAAATTGAATCAAGATCAGCGTGGTGTGTTATCGGTTTCTTTAGCACAGGGACATATTAAAGTCATGGTGGATGCGTGGCAAAAATATTACAGCGCTGTCATTGGTGTTGTGTGAGTCTGAATAAAACAAGCGAAGATGAAGAGCCACAAACGAAAACTACGTGCAGACAATCACGTTGACTGTGACTTGGGTGAGTCTCTGGGTGCCCTGAAAACTAGCGCAAAGGAGGGTGGAGTAGAGCGAAGCCGAAGCAGAGTGAAATGCAGGGAAGACAGACAACATGTGGGGTCGGGTGGATGGAGTCGTGTGCGAGTGGGTATCGTCTTACAGCGAGCCGACGCTGTTGAACGAGCCCTCGACTGGCGAACTGGCCGGACCCGGTGCGTCCACGCAGAGCGAGGAGGCGGAGTTACAGGGGGAGAGGGGCGAGGTCTTGAAGGGGCTCCAGAAGGGGGTGGGGTGCGGCGGTGAGTGGAACTTCAGTGGTACCTTCTTGGGGACTCTCACACGACTCCTCTGGTTGTTCGCTACGCGTCGTGCCTGCACGCAGACATCGGTCATGCAGAGGTTGATGGAGCCCGTCTTGAGTTGGGGATGGCGTTTTCTAATGTAGGCTAAAACGGCATATTATTATAGCGCATAATCTGAAGTTCTGATGAGTTTTGTTCACTGACACCTAACCTCCTGCTAATCGCCTCCTGCTCCAAATTTTTGCTGTTTCGAATTGCTAGCTGTAGAACTATTGACGCTACGTAATACCTCACAACTTACATCTTTAACGTTTGTTAAAGTTTGTTTTTTTTTACTACTCACTGGTAGCATCACTTAAACCACCCAAACAAATTAATCTTATTCACTGTGAAGCCTTCCTCGAGGCTGTTTTTTGGGGCAGGCCTCTGCCCTCACACTGTCGTGCACAGTGGCGTTTGGTCTCGGTAGAATTAGTCGGCACGAATTGAAGGAAACTAGACCGGCAATTGGTTAGTCACATTTGCCACAATTCCTGCCAAAATTAGCCCGAATTGCATGCAAGCTCGGCAGCATGGCCACAGGGAGTCGTGGAATGTCGAGTCTGATGCTAATCTCCATTCACTCCATGTACACGCACAGCATAAAGGCATGGGTGTAAGGGTGATAATGATGCCTGCGAGTGCGTTATATGGGAAATGCGCACGTAATGTGGTTTTCGCATGTGTCGAATGGTCGGCAGTTGAAATCACCTGATCTGAGCGGACATTGGTCGAACTCTTGATTGGCCGAGAATGGACTCGAGGCTCGTGCTCAATCTAGTTGCTCATGCGTACGATAAAATCTCGCGATCTGATTGGAAATCACGCACACCGTCCTTCCAACGTGGAGGCAGCCATTGACAAATCAATAGGTATTGATTTTTTTACCTGGCTAATATGCATCAGAACGCGTCTATTCTTACGGTAGGTGATTTAAATACAATAAAACGTCCCCAAACTATTTTGCAGTTTCTCTGGTTCCCTCATCATCTGCTGCATCCTTCTTTAAATCGACTATATTTATCTATAATTGTAGTTTTTCCCAAACACTGTACTGAAATTCACACATTTTTGAGTGGCGTTGTGGGTTTGGCCTCAGTAAACTGCTAACTCAAGTACTACCCAATTACGCATTAACACACAAATTTAAATTCATGAGTTAAGTGGGCAATAATTTGGCGAATTTCCAGTTTAAAATTAAAAGAACTTTTCGACTCTTGGCCTTAATTGTTTCCAACACCCATAGGTTGCATTCATGACGTCATTTCTTAGTGATTTGACCTCGAAAAAACACGCCTTAATGTAACAGGAATAATAAGCAATTAAAGCACTGTTTCGCGAACCACTCTTTTTAATTTAAAGTGCCACAAACATCATATTTAGCACCCACAAACTACGATTACACGCCATAACTTCAGGAGTAGCGTCACAATTACGAGATCACCTTGGCTAGATTTATGAGAGAGTTTGTGAGCGGTTCTGTGCTCAAATCCCGCCCGAGTGATGCGCAATGCCATCTCTTAGGCATCCCCGTGTGTTTGCTGAAGTCTCTCGGAGATTTCCCTTCTACGCTAAGTTGAATGCGGCGCGAGTTTATCTTCATTTAAACGCGTGGCCGCACGTGCGCGTGCGTGCGCACGTACGACCATGTGTGTGTGTGTGTGGGTGTGTTACCAGCATGGTTTTTATTCGAAGTGTGTGATTGTTTGTTGAGGCACTGCACGCCCCCACCCCTTCCCCCTCTCCCGGACCCCCACCCCCCCAATCCACCTCCCCCTTCGTCGCCTCATCCTGCGTTCATCCGTTTACTAAGTGAAACAAATAGCTGGTTGCGTTCGGCCCCTAACGTCACCCTTGAGCCTGTGTTCTCACTCGGAGATAATCAAGCCGAAATATTCCATTTCAGAGTGCCACACTCAAACTCAAATGCGAGCGTCAGCATGTCTTTTGAAACTCGACGGAGTTGCACAATCATGGAATTTGAAGCAAACGAGAAGCGTCATCCAATTTTAATCAAATTCTGCCGCATCGTGTCTAGTTCCTCACACCCTCAACTCAGATTAATCGATAAGAAGATCAAATAAACTCTATGCCATCGACTCCGATCGTCTTACAAATCAACTTGTTAATCTATGATACTGCAGCTAGGCGATTGGATCAGACAACGTCCAACATCCCATTCTGCGCGTAACCAGTTTCTTGCGGTTGAGTTGGTTGAGGGTTTGTTGAATTAGCAGAAGTTTATTCAACAGCCAAGCACTCAAAAATCAACTTTACACCTGCGTAGATCCATGGGCCAGCCAATCACACTCAGAATGCAAGGAAGTAGAGTGTCAGTTAGCCTCATCACCTAATTGGTGGTGGGTACCTGGTGAGCACCTGGGGAAAATTTTTACCAGGACTGTGCTTATCCATGTCAAGTATGATTAATTGAGTGGTTTGCGGTTCTCCGTGTGACATGGGAATTAAATCTACAAGTGTCATTGTGCTTGCACACCTTTTACTTCTCCGTGTGACATGGCTTAAACCACGACGACGACGACGACGACGACGATAGCACTTAGTTGTTGTGAGGCATGTTTCCTCTGCCCTCTACAACACACCTAGTGAAGTGGGACAACTAA